TAATTGGATTTGTCGCGACACTGTCATACACCGTGTTAACCGTCGAGAAGCGTCGAAACAAACGACAGTACCTGGATTGCATTCACTTGTCAGTGACAACAGGATTCGGAACACTGCCATATTGCAAGCTGCATTCATTGGTTTCCTTGAGACTAGTATCGCTGTGGTTGATAAAATTCGGTCTAGTACCATGACAATCTTGCTTTGTCTCACTTTGGCACCGGCTGGTATCTATGACCTGTGAAAAGAAAAATCCCTGATTTTAAGCAAATATAGCAACATGCCTCGTGTAAGCTAAACTCATCAGCTTGAAGTAGGTGTACAGTGACAGCTCCTGCGCCCAGGTGAGACTCACAGTCAAGGGTTGAAGCATGCCACACTGGATTAGAACGATTTACAACATGATTGCGCCCAAGTTCCGGCCACATGAAGGCACTCGAGACGGGCACTTTTGTGCATGTGGTCAGAAACCAGGAGATATCATCATAAAACAAAGCAGAATATTCACGCATGAATTTTCTGCATCCTAACGATGACACTAGCGTTGCCCATGAGAAGAGGTATGGTGCAAGCTTGCGTTCACGGAAGTCAAGAGCAGTAGCAAACCCGAAAGCACACAAGTTCTGCATGGTTGTGGCTACAGAAAGCAGCTCATCTGCGAGCCATGATTTTGAAAGCACGACAGAGATGCAAGAAGGCAACCACGTCCGCCATGCAGATTGTGAAATGAAACCTTGTGGCATACAGCGAACACGACTAACAACTGTAGCAATTTTAGCTGCTGCAGATGGTAATGCAGTCGTGTTGATGTTTACATCGCGTTTATCATCAACAGACGAGTTCCAAAAAGACGCGGCCAGCATATCAGCGAGCGCTTCCGACTCATTTAGATCAAGGACATGTGCTGGTGCCATTTGATATAGAGACCGACAAAGGACGCGCAATGCGGCAGTTGGCACCTAAGTTCAAAGGCACAGCTAAGACGGGACAAATATCAAACAGGGGGATGACCATATTGCCGATCGCAGCTTGTTCCTGAGGTAGTGGTTGAGATCATATAAACTACAAAACAATTGCACCGAGAACTTACATAAAAGCTAGCGTCGTGAAATACCTAGCAGATGGTAGTCAACCGATGAAGGACATGGGTTTGTCTGAAGGAAAGCTCATAGTTTTTCGCACAGAATGAATTGTCACGATTTGCCGCGCATGGTCTAGTTCACCATCGAGAAGCCACCTTAATTAATTAGTAGCCGTGAAATAAGTCAGTAAGTAGTTCCAAGACTCATGATTTCACTCCAGTAGTGCACAGGCTTGCTTGGGCAAAATATCAGGTGTGAAAAATATGCGCTTGCTTGTTGATGACTCAAAACTTGATCTCATGCTATCTTGGTCAAGCTTTGCCGTAATAAAAATGATCTCAACGAGAGCCTATGTTTACGGCAGGTCATTCTTCGCAGAGAACTTTACTATGAACAGAGATGCTAACCCGGACTGCACCAACGCTAATGGCAGGACTGCCCAGGGCACCAATGATTATCTGGCGCAACCTCGCGGCCCCTATCATGACCTGTATTTACGATTATGAATAAATCATTGCGTGTGCGTAAGCATCTCACATTCCGTGACGGTAGTCTGGGCTCTAAGGTTATATCGACATAGGTTTCTAGTATCTTTCCAGCTGTGATATAGTGTTCCGCCGCCGAATATGAACAAGCACAATCCGTGATGCATCGGGAGTGGATGTCCACCAAGCAGATGACAAGCTCTATGGTATGTTTCCAGCATTGTAAGCCTTCCCTGGATTTCGCACCCTCTCCACTGAGGGGCACTTTGGCAGCCTTACAGAGCGATATGACCTGACATGAAAGATGATAATGTGGCACCCAAAAGATACTGAAGTTGCCTCATTAATAGGTAACAACACAGACGGCGTTACAGTTGGAGAAGTAAATTTGTTGATGGAGAGACTTTGCAGAATCAGGACGCATACAAACATTATCCAATCTAGATCAGCAGCATCAGCAACCCGTCCGTGATCAGCGCCATTGGCCGCCATCATTAACATTTCAAACCATAGCCCATTAATGGCTGAGGATTGATACCGATAAATCACATCTCTGAGCGAAAGCGAGAAAGTGTCCGAAGAAACTATCGCCATAACATGTGCCTTCGACGAATATGCGAGGGACTGGAGATAGCGGAAAAAATCAACCAAATTTCCAGTGTTGGCATACCTGCGGAAGCTTGCTTCGCCGCGCGGCTTCAATCGATTGCGGGATGGAGAGACAGCACGCATGCATAACTGAACACAAGAAGTGGGCATTTTCATCGACATCCCCTCCCTCAAACAAAATTTCGCCGAGAATTGGGCGGACTCCTGCGCTATCGAGCGTCACTAATTGCTCAAGGCATTTCAGAAACTGATTGCGTCGTGGCTGTGAATTTACGCTCACTGGAACTTCTACTAGAATTCGCGAAATGCAAATTCCAAGAGCTCTCAAGCCTATAACATGAGCATGAGATAGCCGCAGACATGATGCATTCGAGGCTGATAGCGCTTCAAGCTGTTTCAAGAGGCCATGGATAACACTAGGTGCCAAGTCAAAGTCAAATGGCAAATAGACATGACGAGGCAAGTTGATGGTTATGCTCCACGATTTGAATATGTACTCGCCCAGATCTCGCTGAGAAACAAACGCAGCATCGGCTATGCTAGCGCGAACATAGGCCCGAAAGAAAGTTGTGAGGCCAAAGTACCTATTGAGCTGTTTGCATCAATCTTCGCCATAAAACTGAACACTAGCACTCGCACAAATGGTTTGTTGATGCCCATTGTTTCACTCAAGCATGATTCACTTACTCTCTGCTGCTGGAAAGATGAGCGATCGTCAGGCTTGCGAAAAAAAATTAGAATAATAATGTCCTCCAAAAGCCAGCGAAATAATGTGTTTGAGGTAAACCTCCCGCTTAGCTCAAGTAGTGGCGTGAGCAGCGTCGACGACGCATGGGACGATGCCCGTGCTGAGGTATCGAGTGTTGCTCTAGTGAGTAGGCGCATGCAGTTGAAGATGCCGCCGCGTTGCCCTGGCGTCATCTTTGCCACTGTACACAAACACGCCCTGATCACAATCAATTGCATGTCAAGTTCGTCTTGCATGAAGACCAAGTTGTGCAGTAGCGAGAGCAAATGCTTCACAACAAATATGCGCGCACTTCGAAACTTTCTATCAAATACGGGACAGGAATCCATCGTCACTGCAGCCCGGTCAAGGACGTCCTCAATTGACGGGAAGGCCCATTTATGAAGGCCGACGGACCGCGCTTGGATGGCGCAGCCACCTCAGCCACCAGTGAAGCGATCAACGTACATCTAGGTGCACCTAGATTAACCAATTAATTATTTCGGGCCCGGCGCGGCGGGATTCATTAGTCCTCCGTAGAGGCTGTGCGTCGACCGCGCGTCCATACGGAGAATACCCCCCGCAAAATTTCCCGCGATCGAGCTAATCACACTTATCGATGGTTCAGGGTCGCCGGTAGGGTCGTTGCGCGACCCGCTGAAGCCGTTTGAGTCTCGACAGTATTGGTACGCATAGTTGTGCCGCGTGGTTTGGCCTGCAACGGCGAACGCATTCGCGGCGAGCGGTAACGTGCTCAGACCGCACGCTTTGCGCGTGGTTCAGCGATCGAGCCGCTCTCGCGTTCTGCATCGATTCCGGTGCTTGTGCTTCGCGTACGTCGGGCCACAAGGGTTTGGAAGCTGCTGTGAGCAGCTGACGCTATACCTTTGCCGTGCTCGTTCGTGCCGTGCACTCGTTTCCTGCCTCGATACAGCCGATATGGCGCGCGACGACCGCGGCGGTTTGACAGTGCTTACGGACGCGATGCGGCTCGTCGAGGGCGAGGACGATGGTGAAGAACCTGCTGCCGCAGGCGCAACGCGTGTCGTCCCCGTGGAGATACGGTGCTGGCTTACGATGTCGCAGCTTGCTGACCTGAAGTCGCGCTTGGGCATCGCGTGCGGCAAGGCTGTGGACCTGGCCGTTAGGCAAGGCTTCGCTGGCTCCGTGGCTGGGGATGATGCCCTGGGACTGCTGGAGCAGCTTTCAGGTTTCCCGCAGGCCACCCCAGGTCCGCGTAGCTGGCGTGGGCTTAAGATTAGCTTACATAGTTTTCCGCCGACGAAGGTCCCTACGCGTGCAAGGGAGAGCATCGCGGACATCCTAGGGGTGTCTGCCGTTGCTGCTACTGCTGGCATGGACAAGCACATGCACGAGTACCTCTACCAGTTGACTTCGGCACACTTGCGCTGCAAAGACACCCGCGGCCGCAGCGACTTGGCTCGCGAAGCGCCGCGTGCACGCCGGTGGACGTTAAAGGTCGGGTGCTCGAGGAACGCGCCGAGACGGCGGAGCTCGTCGATGTCCTTGTAGCTGATCTCCTGCACGATGTAGTCGCGGATGTCGACGTTGTGAGTAATTGAAGGGTCGCTGTATAACTTCGACCGCGGCCTCTGGGACGAGCTTAAGTCCCCTGCGTATGCAGGGGCAGTCTCCAAGCTTAAGTCTTCGTCGAAGACCTTCGAGTACAGCGACGCTGAGATTAACCACACCGTGGACATCAAGGCCTACATCGTCCATTCAGCGGGTCGCGCAACGGCCCTACCGGCGATCCTGAACCATCGATAAGTGTGATTAGCTCGATCGCGGGAAATATTGCGGGGGGTATTCTCCGTATGCTGCGGCTACAAGCAGCATCGCAACAACAAACAAAAAAAAAAGAACACACTACCCCAGGCGGGCTCCCATCGGGGCCTCCTTACGACCCCCTCCATACGCCCGCATGCGGCGGGGGAGCAGATGACCCAATTCCCCCAGCGTCATCCCCTAGGATATGGATCCCCCCGTATCCTCCTCCTCCTTAACCTAGCCTATAACGCCAGTGCTGTGGTTCACCTCACCTGACTCGTTCTCGGCGCCATGGCCACCAATTCCTTTGGTTCTTGTTGCACCCGAAAGAACTCTATGATTCTTCCGCTGTCAACATTTTACTGCTCTGGATGATAGCTATGCTGTGGAAGAGAATGAACAGATTGGGCATCTGCCAGGGGGGAATGGATGTTCAACAGGGGGATAATTTAAGGCCAGCGGCCGAAGCGATGCGCGCGCCCGTACCCCAGCTTTGTTCGCTGCCTGATCGGAGACGTCGCTTGGAAGAACTGCGTTTAGCCAAGCTGTGGGATCGGGGTAAGCACTCCGAGGACATCGAGGCACTAAGGGCCGCGGCAAACGGTGGCCATCGGCTAGCCCAGTGCACGCTGGGATCAATGCACGAAACTGGGACGACTGAGGTGGTGCAAGACTGGGTGCAGATGATCGAATTATACACGGCAGCAGCAGAGCGGCGCGTGGAGGGTTTAGTCTTTTTTGGAGAGGGCGTGGCGGACGCCCAATTCAGGTAGGTTGTACACGCTTGATATCATCCTATCCACCGCTCAATTTTGTCGCCTGGATAGGTTGGGGAGATGTTTTGCTGAGGGACGTGGTGTGCGGCGAGACAGGGAGATGGCGACACTCTGGCTCTGGCGCGCGGCACGACAGAAACACGAACGCGCTACTCTATACCTCGCAGAATTCCAGCAACGAGCTCATCCACTCTACTCTTTCAAAAAGTTCTTCAGTGTTTCCACTTGGGTTGAAAGGCAACCAAAGAAAACGGTAACGGCCATTAACAACAACGTCAACGGCAATAAAAATGATGATCAGACCCAGAATGATCACAATCATAGTATGAACAATGAGGTTGGGAACTACATAGACAACAAAAATGACCAAATTGCACAAGGCTCTTTATCAGAGTGCGTTGCAATCCAGAAGGCGGCAGGTGCGCATGTGACTACTTTAGAATTGGAGGCACGTGCTCAAGCGCGGGCCGAACGGCTCTGTCGACGAACAAATGCAATCAAGCTTCAAGATCAACTCGTCGACGTGACGTTTCATGACAGTACGCTAGGATTATCTCTGGTGCTGGCCACAGAGCATTGCACCAAACGCAAAATGATCATTGTAGCAGAGATTCGAGCTGGTTCACCTGCGGACGGCCTCCTTGAAGTTCAGGACGAGCTTGTTGCCATTGGGGATGATTTTGAGTTGCCAAATCATCTTCTTATCTTTGATGAAATTGGCAAATTCATCTACCGCCAACCAAGGCCCTTGGTGCTCACATTTGGACGAATTCACAAACACCGACCTGCGCCCATTGAAAGGCCCGCGGTCTACCTCGCACCCGACCAGCCCGACGGGCATTAACAAAGAGAAAAACCCGCCATTATCCCCCCCCTTAGTCAAAAGAAGAGGTCTACTACGGCACACTAAGGGCCATAGCTACTAATTAGGATATACACTGACTCATTCAAAATTAAAAAAGAAACTGAAAAAAGAAGGAGGACCTCTCTGTAGCTGCGCTTCCGGTGGGTGCGATTTTGTCCGATATGAACCGCATACGCCTTTTTGCTGTTCCAGGGACCCACTCTGAGTTGAATGCGCCAGCCATACCTCTTGGTACACACGCAAAGTGGCGAAGCACGACAAGTACGCCAGGCTAGACTCCAAACGGCACCAGAGCGACCCCGAGCCGGCGCAGGCCGCTCCATCAGGGCCGTAGGGACCGGGGGGGGCTAACAGGAACGCAGAGCGTCGGGGAACTCGGACGGCTCCTGCGGCGCGGTCACGCACTCGGGCCACGGTGCGCAGCGCCCGGCCTCGTTGTCCGCGGAGTCGGGGTCGTATCTCTCTGTCGACCTCTCCCAGCATCGGAGATCTTATTTCATCCGTGAGATCACTCGTTGGAACAAAAAAAGTGACCCCGTGCCGCGTCCGCGCCGTCCGCGCCGTCCGCGCCGTCCGCGCCGTCCGCGCCGTCCGCGCCGTCCGCGCCGTCCGCGCCGTCCGCGCCGTCCGCGCCGTCCGCGCCGCTTCGCGGAAGGGAGATTCGAAGCCGCGACCCCCTCGCGTCCAGCGGGGCATCCAGCGGTTGGGAAGAATTTATTTCGGGCCTCATCAGCCGTTCCCGTACATAAACGCCCTCCCTTTGTGGCCCATGATCACACACCCAATCCCACAAAGTTTGCCGGCGATTCGACCAATCATCGACATGCCAGCACGCGGTGTCCAGCGGAGGAAGCAGGGACGATCGTATGCCCCGAGACACCCGCATTGCGCGCCGAAAGAGGCGACTCGCCCATGCTCTACGAAGCGCCCCGCGCTCATCGTTATCTTCAAAAAATCCTAGAAAATAGAGACTTGGCCGGGGGTTCGGTAACCTTTTCGATTCGCAAATGGGGCGCCGCCCATTAAAAAACGTTTAGGTTACCGCGAAGCGGCCTCGATGGGGCCGAGCTAGCCTCGAGTCAAGCCCGCCGAGCGAGATGAGGGGCCGGAACGAGATCCAGCGGGCGTACTTGTCGCGCATCGCCACCTAACTAGGGTAGGTGCAGTACTAGCATGATAGTAGTATGGTGCTATCTCTAACCAGACAGAGACAACAGACACAGAAAAGCGCTATGCTCTCTGTGTCTGCTTGGCAGTCACTCCTTCAGTTCGCTGTCTATGAGACTTGAAACTGGATTAGAATGAATTAAGGAAGGGAAGGGAAAACGAGCAGGATACGCAGTAGGAGCGCAGATCTGGAGCGCAGTGGGGTAAAGTGCACTGCAACATCAAGGTGCAGTTCACTGAAGATGAAGGTAGAAATCTCTCTATCTCTCTAGTACTGTACTACAGTATAGTTAACGAGATAGTAAACACCGACACGGGGAGGCAGCCTAGTGGGGCTGCCCTGCCGTGTGAGGGTGAACTATCGAGGTTACGCAGTGGCGGTACACCGGCGTCTCTGTTATCCTCACGTCACCTCAGCTGCCGTAGTATACGGGGGCTGGGGCTACTGGACGAACGGGCAGAGGATCTGCCTCACTAGGTCCAGGAAGACTCTCCGTCTATTACAGTGCGGGAAGCAACTATAACAGGGTTAGAAAGTATTAAGGAGGGGAAGGATATTGGGTGGCTCTGTACCAGCGAGCCACTAGGGAGATAAAAAACTCTCTCTATCTCTCTTGCACTTCGGTGTCATTGCGGCTGCGACCGGCGGGCGCCAAGCCTGAGCACCACTCTCTACTGGCTTATTCCAGTTCCAGGGGTTTGTAGCTTCAACATGGCGGTTGAAGTTCAACCAAATCTTCATGTTGAACAGTGAAGCGATCAAAACTCAGATTCTATTGGCGTGGAATTTTTTTTCGACGCGCGGTCGACGCATAGCCTCTACGGAGGACTAATGAATCCCGCTGCGCCGGGCCCAAAATAATTAATAACTATTAATTAGTTAATCGACGCCGGCGTAGCTCTAGATGTACGTTGATCGCTTCACTAGGTTTCACTGATGTTGAATGATTACAGATCTTCAGGCGAATCTTGCTACGACTCCAACAATTCATGAGTGCTGTTGAGACGGTGCGCATATGCATTTTTGTGTCTTACGCCGTGTTTACGCTTGTGATTTCGTTGATCGCATGCGTGGACCCAGAAGGGGATGGGTGGCATAACAAGTTGGCGGGTCTCGTCTCTGGCTTCCCGGAGCACGTAGTCTGGCCTGCGATTGGCCAATTGTGCGGGAAACGAGCAGAAGAACGGGTCGCTAAGCTTACCCGGTGGCTTTGCGCGGAACCAAATCCTGTGCTACAGATTCTATATCTAACTTTTGTGTGCGGTGGGTACGGAGCTGCAGTTATTTTTGCATACCCGCGATGACGCTGCGTCTCTCAGTCTCAATTACGAGTGTAGGCATATACCTTGCAGGCGTGTTCCTTGCGCGAGTCTAGGTGCACATCACAAGGGTTTGGGGATGTTGTTTTTTGCATCCTGTCTCACTTCTTTTATTGCTGCAAGCACCGGAGAACCTGGCTACATTGTTGACAATCAAACCGTAGCCAAGCATGATAATTATGCGCAATGCTACGGCGCCGACACAGTTCCCATCGCACCTTGCTCTGCGTAGGTATGATAACGTACATTTTCTACCTAATAAAATCTGTAGTACAGCCAAGGTGCGCAAGGTGGCAAGGTCTAAATTCTGCACGACAACCTGGTGCAATGTTGCACGGTTCGATCATTTTTGCCCCTGGATCAACAATGCGATTGGCGAGGAGAATTATCGAATTTTTCTTCTGTTCCTAAGTTGTCACGCATTATTTTTGTGCTACGGGGCCGTCTGCATCTCTTTTATTCTTTATGATCTCATTTTGAGAGAGGACCTCTTCAACGCAAGTTTTTATGATCCGCGCACCGGTGAGTTGACTCACTCATCCAGGATGTTGCGCTTCGAGCGTCTAAGACATTGGCAGCGATGTAAACCTAGCGTGCGCTGTAGGCTCGTCCTCCGATACCTCGTGACCGTGGAACGTGTGCTTTGCGGACTTCTTGCAACCTCCATCGTCATGGCCAGCGTCGTCACTGGCTTTCTCGCATACCATCTATGGCTCATCAAGCTTGGACGGACAACAAATGAGCACTACAAATGGATTTTCCTGAAACAACGGAAAACGAGAAAAGAAAACAAGACTAGGCTTTTTGCGGGTGAGACCTTTCTCAAGCAAACAGGAAGTTCAAGCACGAATCGGACGCTGCTCGCAGATACAGACGACGTGGATGGCGAAATCCCAGTCGGCATTCACCACAGCGCGACCTCGGATAATGCTTACAACCAGGGCTTTTTTCGCAACCTCGGTGAGGTTGCATTTCCCAGATCCCGTCGTGCAGACGCACTCAGACGCGCCAGGAAGGCAGGTAAATCAGAGAAAGCGAAGTGACGACGCGGCTAGCTTAGCCCCGAACTCGTGTTTTATTACATGTGCGTTTGCGTTATTACTACTGGGTGTTTCCGGTAACGAGTTAGGCTCCGGCTCTGCGGAGGCTCCCCCAGTAGCGTGGCTTCCGTAGAAACCACCCGTAGTGACGCGTTCTAAGACGAGTCCGACGCGTTGGATGGGAATCCGATGTCCAATCCGACCACTAGATGATCGCGTTCCGCGCGGCGGCCGCGCGTCGCTCCGCGGCCGCGTTCGCGCGCGAATAAAACCCCGAAAACGGTACCTCCGGGGACGACCGGACAACCGAGCGACGACACTCGCCGGCGTCCGCCGGCGGGGTGTCGGTGGCCATTTAAGTGGGAATGACCCCGCGTCGATAGCCGAAGAGTCGACCTGAGGATGGGGGAGGCGAATAGGACACTTTGACCCGCGTTGTTCCCACCCCTCAGAAACCGACGCGTTTGATCGCGTGGGACAGGCCGTCGAATTTAATTGGCACTTTTTTCTGTGAGATTCATGGCTTTCGTCCCGCCAGCACTCTGGAATTTTCCATCGCGCGTCGCCATCGGTAAGATTTTGCTTACTTTCAACAGGAACCGCTTCCGACGGCGGGCGCCGTAAGCTCACCGCGGCCGGTGAATTTAATTGGAGGACCCCGCCTCGTTGTAAGCAGACGCGTTTGGGTTAATTTATTGAAGTAGTAATCGAAAACCTCATCGAAATCGTCCACAACTGCATCGTTTCGACCGACGGCCAACGCTGCGATGATGTGATGCGCCGGCGCCGCGCCGTTTTGCGCTAGGCGGTGCACGGAAAGCGCGCGTGCTGCGCCGGACAGCGACGGCGGGGGTTCGGGAGCGCAAAAATTCCTGCTGGCGGCCTCCTGCGGCGAGACTGTCGATCACTGCGACTGCGGGGCGCGCCCCCACTCGATTTTTGCATCCCCGGGTTCATATACCGTGATAGCGGGCATGGGGCAACTCATCACCGCGCTACGGTCGCCCTGCGACTGAATTAGGTTCGAAACTCCCCCGCGCGCGCGACGACGACGACGACGGCGGCGGCGGCGGCGGCGGCGGCGGCGACGACGACGACGACGACGACCGACCGACCGACCGACCGGCCCAGAAAGTAGGTGCCAGGAACTCGCCCTGGACCCAGGGGAAGTCGCCCGAGGTCCCCCCGAGTACGCCCAAGTAGGATTTAATCAAAGTTTACCACCCGAGCTCAAGGTCACACTGTGGCACACTCCAAAAGTCAACATCTCGTCAAGGTGCCGCCATGAACATCTCCGACGCGGGCTATGCGACGGGCCAGGACCGCTTCCGGCGGGAGCGAGGAGGCGGCGCGGGACACGGCGCGGTCGCGGACCGAGGACCTCGAGGGCGGCGTGCCGCTGCCGCTGCGTGCGCATAGATGCGCCGCGTCCACCTCGAGCTCACGGACGCGGCCGGCGCGCGGCGGACGCGCACCATGCGCTTCAACGACGGCGAGTCCATCGCGCGGGACCTCAAGGACAACGAGGGCACCGTCTTCGCGTGCGCGACGCCCGCGCTCGGGTACCAGGACGAGTTCGAGCTCTTCGTCGCCGCGAAGGGCCCGCGCGGCAACGTCATCGAGACGCTCCGCGCCGACCAGACCATCAACGGCATCAACTTCAAGAAGGGCCGCCTCCTCGTCTACTGCCACGACCTCGCCCGCGTCCACGACGACCCGGCCCGCCGCACGTTTGAGCTCGAGCCGACGCTCCGCGCCGTCGAAGCCCGGATGGTCCGGAAGACGGGCGTCGCGCTCGACGACGCGGGAGACGCGCCGGCGCCCGCGGACAAGCCCAGGACGGGCCTGTCGGCGGCCTTTGCCGCCGTCGACGGACGCCTCGTCGTGCTGTCCGAGGCCGAGAACGCCAAGACCGTCGCCGCGTGCGACGGGTGACTCCGCGCTCGCCGTCGTCTCCCGCCGCGCGTGTCCCGCGCCACAGAGCACCTCGCAACGACCTTTTAGCAGAAACTCATAAAAAGAGGCTAGATCGACGAGAAATCGGGGTGTTTCGACGGGACAACGGTCCTTTAAGCGCGGCTATGGTTTACCCCAAAATCGGGGTCTGCTGGGGGTGCCTCCGCGTGGCGGGAGCCGTTAGTGAGCTAAACCACCCGGCTATCATCAGCTAAATAAAACTCGCAAATAAAGCCGCTGGCTGTGGCGGTCCTCCCCCAGCTCGCCGCTTCCCCGGGGCCCGGGGTGGCGCGGCGTATTAGGGGCCCCTGCGCGACGGTGCGTGCCGCGGTCCCGCTACAACCGGCCCGTGCCCAGCCCGTGCCCCGGGCCGCGTGCCGGGCGTGCCCGGCAGCGGTTCCCGCGTTCCCGGTGCCGTGCCCGGCCGGCCGTGCCCACGCGTCCCCGGCCGCGTGCCGGCCCCGTGCCGGCGTGCCCGGGCGGCGTGCGGCGTGCCGCGTGCCGAGATCGTGCCCGGCCGCGTGCCGGGAC